CTTTCCCCCCCCCCCCCCCTCCCTTTAGACATCTTAGGAATGCATTGATCTTCTCATGTCCAAGTATACTCTTTTTTAAATCTCCATCTCCACATTTCTCCTTTCCAATTTGTTCTTTCTGTCTGTCTAATTATAATAATAAGAAAAATTCATTCTACAGACTCCTTGTGAAATTCAAAGCGGTCACCGTTGCAGTGAATGCTTCGGTGGCTTGATGGTTTGAGGATAAGATATCTTCAGAATGTTGATAAATGGTCAACCCGCTCTATGCACAATGAATAACATACTACTGTTATCTCACATTCCAACCAACATAACCTGAAAAAAAAAGCCACAATGCAATCCAAAAATGTCACAAAAAATCCCATTGTCCTCTTTAAATCATTGACTTTAGTGTACGTAGCAGGGATAGCTCACACTCTTAGTTCATTTTTATTTGAGATTACACCCCGTTTCCACTGTAAAACATATATGTGATGATGCCTGTATGAGGAGCCCATGTGAGCAGTGAAACAGGAACACTGGCACCCAACTAGTGGAACATGGATTTTGTGGATAATTTTTGTACTGGAATTTTTTATTCAAAGTGCTATCTCTTGGCATCTTCGTAAAGGGGATTCTGATTATTGCTTAAAAGCCTCCAGTCAATTGCTTCCTAAACTTTTTATTTTGTTCAGATTATAGATACTTTAGTTTAAAATGGTACTGTGTAGAAAAGGAGGTCTTTAAATTGTGGCCTGTGGTTTGGTTTTATGAGCCTTGATTGGTGTGAACTGTGAAGTCTCCTTTGGAATCTCCCAGCTTAGCTTCTGTGTGTCTGTTGGTGTTTGAAAGAGGGTAGATATCTCTGTCATGAATAAGGAATAAGGATTGACAGTATATCAGTGGCAGTGTCTCACAATGTACAGACAGAGAGGATAAAGACTGTAGGAGGGGGGATGACCCCAGTCTGGCCGGCTGCATTGTGAACTATGGGGGTCATAATGGAATTTCCTGAACTCCCTCCAGGGCCTGAGATAGATTAACCTAACTGGGGGAGGTGTGTGCATTTTGTTACGGTGTATATGGACTATATGTGACTCAGTAATAGCTGCTATTTTCTTTGTCTTGTGTATGTATTGTCCATGCAGTCAGGAAGTGACTGAGACATGTTTACTGGCTGACAATAGAGTCATAGCTTAACTACCAGACCTCACTTTAAGTGAAGTTATTCTTGTGAACGCATGTGAATGCATTTGATAGATAGATAGATGGATAGATAGATAGATAGATAGATATGCAGAAGGCAATGTGCAAGCACAACAATTATAAAATTCCATAACTCCAGAATGTTTCCTGGACCAAGGTGAGGAATGTTGGAGAAGAAATGGAAAACGTAGCAGTGCATAATGTCCTCTAACTGTTCCTCTCTCTTTTTTCCTTCTCTCCTTGCTATTTCTTCCTCACTCTCCCTTATCCCCTCCTTCTCGCCTATCCAGAGTGAGGACTCCGATGAGGATGAGCCTTGTGCCATCAGTGGCCGCTGGACCTTCCAGAGGGACAGCAAGCGCTGGTCACGTATGGAGGAGCTGGAGGTTTTTTCTGCACTTCCTGCAGATGCTGCCCCACCTCCGTTCCCCAATGACCCCGTATCCCAGAAAGGCAAGCTTGCCCTGCACGAAGGGAATAGCTCAGAGAGTGTGCTGACCGACCTCAGTGAACAACCTGAAGTGGGCTCCATCCACAGCAGTGGGAGTGGAGGGAGAGGAGAGGAGAAGAGCCATGGTGCCACCCTGACAAATGAGGCTATACCCGCTGGTGCCACTCGAGCCAGCTCTGTAGCTAGCATGTGTTCGTCATCGGGCACAGGTGGGTCAGGATGTGCCAATGAGGACTCTCTGTCTGATGGGATGCCTCCATCGCCCCTGGAGACACTCGGACAGTTCACCTTTGATGTGAAAACAGGGATGGGAGGTCTAGGAGGAAGTCTGGACAGAGGAGGTGGCAGCGGCAAAAGCACACGCTCAAGAGCTAAGAGCTTCCTCAAGAGGATGGAGAGTCTCCGGCTGCGCAGCGGCACCATGTCAAAGAGAAAGAAGAAGGCGAGCACCAGCGGAGGGAAGATTGAAATTAGTGGCCCTGTCATCAAAGAGGGTCTAGATGATGACAAGTTGCGGAAGCTCAACTGTGTGGATATCTCCAGCATCATCCTCAACCAGAACCTCAATCACCACCGCAGTCCCACTCAGACTATGACACTTAACAGGAATCGCTCTGTATCCTACTCCACTCAGACCAGCAACGGCAGCACTGGAAGCACTGGGAGCAGCCAGTCCGAAGCCAGCAGTGGAAGTGCAGTGAGCACACCGAGCCCAGTGACTCGCGCTCGCAGCCACAGCACAGCCGCAGGCTCGAGTAAGAGAGGAGGAATGTATTTGGAGGGTTTTGATCCATTCAGCATTCCCCAACAAGCTTCAGATGGACAGCCAACACCCCCACCCAAATCTGCCCCACCCATCCCATGCCAAGCTAGTAATGGGATGACAGTGGATGAGCAGAACCGCAGGAACAACTTCAGTGTTCAAGACAATAGCGGACAAGCGGAAGAAGAAGAAGAGGAAGAAGAGGATGGCATGATCTTCTTCTATTTACCAGAAGGTCACAAGCCTGGAACCTTTCCCAAAGCCCTGCAGGACGGGAGTTCACGCAATAACAACGGGAATGATAACGGGAACTCAGTGATCCTCAGGGGGCGGCAAAGTAGACGCCAGCGCCGTGGCTCTTCAGGCTCTGTCGACAGCCGGCTCAGTTTTTATGACAATGTCCCCTACGCTGAGAGAGAGGAGGAGGAAGAGGGGGATGAGCGCAAACTGGAGCAAGTGCTGCAACACGTCAGCGGCCTGCAGCGGTTCGTTAATGCCTGGTCAGAGGCTGTAGCCGGTGAAGAGGAGGAGGAGGAGGAGGATGAAGAGGAAGAAGGAGACTCAGATTCAGCACTAGACTCGGCCTCCCCGTGCCCCTCTTCTCCACTGCAGAACCGACTGGAGGAGACGGAGAACGGAAGCGACCAAGACAGCACAGGAAACCCGCTGGGCGAGGGAGAGGAAGGGATGAGAGAGAGGAGAGATTCTGGTGTCGGACCATCTCTAACCAGAACCAGCAGGTCAGTAAAGAACATCTAAACTGTGTTACTAATACAGTAAATTTGTTTGTGGTGCTCACAGAATAAAAATGAGCAAAAGGCATGTCCCTGTTACTGGTTGAGCCTCAGAACTCCTTGTCAAAACTTTTTGTGGGGACTGTTTCATCTGTAGTTCCAATGAAAGCCTTTATACATACTTTTTGTTGTTTGGGGTGAACTGATCCTTTAAAAGAGACAACTATAATTCAGCAAGCTGCTTCCAAACCGGGATCATGCTTCAAGTGATCTGTGAAACTCCTGCCAAACATTACCTTAGTGCATGAAAAGCTCAAGGATAACAATCTATAGAAAAAGACAAACTCTGAGGTATCAACAAAAAGAGATTTCTAAGAAAGTGACAGCAAAGGATACAGAGGGGGACACGCTGAGACTTCTCTCCTTACGTAATGGTGCTGAATGCACAAGAATGCTGCTCGGTCTCCATGGGGACTGTTGCTGTTCCTTCAGGAATCCACAGGCAGAATTACATTTGGGGGGCGTGGGTTTTTAGTCTTTAAGACCGTCTCTTGATTGATGTGTACATAAATCCTTGTAATCCCTGAACTGATCACTTGGCACATGAAAGTGCAAATACTGTGTGTGGCTGTATTTAGTTTGTGTGTACACAAAAGCATGACGTAGATGCCAAAGACTTTAACTGCTCCTTTTTAATCAACATTCTTCTTCTCACATCTCAATTTGTGCCCCCTCCTTCTCTTTCCCTGTGCTCCAGGCCACAGAAACTCCGCTGGCCGAGCTTCCAGAACTCCCATCGGCCCAGTTTGGCCTCCGCTCAACTCCAGATTAGCTGCCAATCTGTGCTACAGATGAATCTACTCCAGAAGCTCTCCCTGTTGCAGCTCACTGCTCTGCTCGAGAAACACACCCCTACAAACAAACATGGCTTCAGCTGGTGAGTGGACTGAAGGAGTATACCTATTGAGGCGATTGTTTGATACACACTGATTTTTTTGAACGCTTGTTTTTAATTTGGAATGCTTTCTGCTTCTGGCTAACTGATGCCCTTGAATTTATCCATTCAGCCATCTCTCCATCCAACTATTACCCCTTCATCCCACCCATCTCCCAAGCCCCTTCCATCTGCTGGTTGTTGTATAGTGTGGTGACGGCTGTCTACAGAGGTTGGGTTTCACATTCTTTTCCCAGGCCCGTAATTGCTGGGAAGGGGTGTACATTGTCTTTTCCTCAACAGGGCAATCATGGCAGTTCACACGCATGGTGTTACAAGAGCTGGAGGCTAGAATGATCGGTCCTCAACAATTATCCCTCCACAACTACATTCTCTACCACTTCTAGACTATTGGATTTGACCTCACTTTATATGCTGCTCATGATTATCCACCTAATATCCTCCATGTTACTGGGCTGGCCTTAACTTCTGCCTTCTCTTTTCATCTGTATTCCTGCATTTTTGTCCTTTTTTATGAAGTCAAATATTAGGGAAAAATCCATTAACTTGGTCATTTGAACTAAAAGCAGTGTACATATATAAACAAGACTTAACTTTTTGAGCAGAAAATTCACAGTCAAAATAAATAATACAGACAAAAATTATTGTGCTAAATTGTTGTGAACCAAACCTAGCATTACCTGTATCTGTTAAAAGTAGATTTTATACTACTTAACAAGGTCAGATGAACATTTAGTTGTTTTTCCACTTCCCCTGTTTTCTTCTACCCTTCCTTGGACAGGAATAGAAAGTGTTATGACCCCAGCTTGTCTTATGACAAGCTGAAAGACAGAGGCCACTTGTTGGCCGCTGGAGGCCCACACATATTCAGAATTCCGAGCTGGGATCATAATATGCTCCTTTTCCATTTTTCCCAAACTGTGGTTCAGAGAAGCACTCTGAGTCTTGTGAACGCCTGCTCTTACAAAGACAAGCTTGTCCTGAGTCACGCATAGCGTCTCTCCGCTAAACACACTCACACCCATGCAGATAGCTACACAGCCATAAATCTGTGGGCGCATTCTTGTGAAATGGTCGGAGTTGCATGTTTCAACTCTGGGGTTTGTGGTTATAGACTTGGTGTTCACTTGCATCCATGTGCGCACACACACACACACGCACAAAGACAAATAGTGGGACAGACACTTAGTGCGGATGTATAAAGCAGTGGGATCCTCCCCTTTTGACACCCAGGCGTACATCCTACCCCCCCCCCTCTATTCTCCCCTCAACCTGTTATCCACCCCTCTCATAAACCTGGAGACAAGCTTCTGGAGACACTTCCTCCTTGCACACATAAAAAACAGATTTTTACATTAAATCTAAACTAAATGGACCATTTGAAACATTATTTATTTCCTGATTATTGTAAGTTGTGTTGTTACTTTAATTCTAAAGTAGATTAATCAAGACCCAGTAAGACTGAAGACATGTCATGACATTATTTGCCTGTTTAAAGAAATCGTTTTACAACTGAATCCGTATCAAAGGCCACATCAATAAGTAAGAGACATTGATGAAGTTTCTTTTCTTGTGTGTGTATGTTGCAGGGCTGTGCCAAAGTTTATGAAGCGGATCAAGGTGCGCGACTACAAAGACAGGAATGTGTTCGGTGTGCCACTACAAGTCATCGTCCAGCGGACAGGGCAGCCTCTCCCTCAGGGAATACAGCAGGCCATGCGCTATTTGCGCAATCAGTGCCTCGACCAGGTAATATAAAGTACACAAATAGACACACATATAAGGAAAGATGTGTACATAAACATGTGTGTATACTGTAATTGCAGTGTACACATAACATAAAAATACCTGCCAGCCTGTCGTTTAGCGTTTTCAGTTTCCACAGCACAGAGAAAACCATTTTTCTTAAAGGTGGCAGAGTTACATAATAATGAAATTTTAGGACATCTGCAATCAGTCATATATTCTTCCATGGTTTTTTTTTTTCACTGAAAGTTACATAAGAGGGACCAGTGAATCGGAAAAAGCCTGACTTCGTAAGCGTGTGTATACGGTTTCTGTCTGTCCCTCTTTTTTTCTTCTTTCTGTCACACATTTGCTGAAGCGGTGAGGCCTGGAGAGAGTCAGTGTGCAGTTATTAAGTCACCTGTGTCTGTCTGTTTAATCCAGGGACATTATGAAAGATTTATCTCAGAGTGTGTGTGTGTGTGTGTGTGTGTGTGTACATTCAAGAAAATAAAGAGGGAGAATGGAGAAAATAGTTATTAATGGAGGGCAAAACAGAAAACAGTGTGATGTTCTTTTCAAAGCAAGACAAGGGTCCTCTGTTGGAAGTGGTGAAAGCTCATGGAAAATATTCAGGCTGGACAAGCCAACGGCCTTTTTCTATTTTCCTCCCCAACATTGCCATTTCATACAGCCTTAAAAGGCCACCGATGAGGTCATTTAGTACAAAGTGTTACGGAGCTTCTTGTCAATTCAGTCTACAGGATCTTTTGTGATGTCACCATATTGACTGTAAGCTCTGGATTTGTGGATAAGTCAGGAATATTATTTTCAATGATAACAGCCTGCAGCTTTAAAAGACGTTTTTTTTTCTATGTTCTATGGGGACATTAATCTTTTTTGATACGCTTTAATGATAGGATCAAACATTGTACTTATGGTAATTCGTAACTAATAAGGGAATTATAGTTCAAAGCTGACTTATCCGGTTTCTGTGCATGATGTAACCCTCTCTTTGTCCTTCACTCTTTGTCCAGGTCGGTCTTTTCAGGAAATCAGGAGTTAAATCTCGTATCCAAGCTCTTCGTCAGATGAACGAGGCGAGCGGCGCAGATGGGGGAGGTGTCAGCTATGAGGGCCAATCGGCATATGACGTTGCAGACATGCTGAAGCAGTACTTCAGAGATTTGCCAGAACCCCTGCTCACAAGCAAACTTTCAGAGACCTTCCTCCAGATTTATCAGTGTAAGAATTCACACACATGTATGTTCAAATTAAACAAAATCTTGTCCACACATGCCGTTACTTCACATATACAGTCACACATCTGCAAGAGGATCGCATAAAGCGTTATTGTTTTAGAGCTGTAGATTGTTGCCTGACATGGCAACCAAGAAAGTTTGAAACTGTAAAAAAGAAAACAAACAAGATGAGTGCAGGAAATACCTGCGGAATGAGGTGATGTATGTGATATAGTATTGGTTCATCCTTCTGTGACTCATTGTTAATGTGAACTTCAAGTTCTGTTCCTTTATGATTGCATTAGCTGCATTAGGAACTGTTTATATAAGGGGACACAAACCCAGTCCTGTGCATTAGGTATGAAGCATATAGTGTACACACACATAGGGTTATATAACACACTTTGGCCAACACAGAACCCATCATAGCTCATTACTGGCAGGGGAATTAAGCTCTACACAAACTACTTCCTAAGTTAACCAACAGACACAAAGAAGATGACATAATGCAGCATGACAGTGGTTATTAGTAGTCTTTTTCTGCATATAATGTTAAAAACATGTCATGACATCCTCGTTCTTCCTCTCCAGACATGCCTAAAGAGCTTCGTCTACAGGCGGTGCGTGCCGCCGTGCTGCTTCTGCCCGACGAGAACCGCGAGGCACTGCGGACACTGCTGTGTCTGCTGAGCGACGTGACAGCCTGCGTGTCTGAGAACCAGATGACTCCCACCAACCTCGCTGTTTGTCTGGCTCCATCACTATTCCACCTCAACACCCTGCGCCGCAAGGAGAGCTCCTCGCCAAGGTGTGTGTGTGTGCCTCCAGACCACTCTAATCATTGCTTTTTTTTTTTATTTATTGTATTAGCAGCTTACATAACATGTAATATGTAGTACATTCTCAAAACAGGAAAGGGTCACACAAAAGAAACAAAAGAGCAGGATACTGTAGATGAAGGAGCAGAGAAAGGAAGAGAGCAAAACTTGAGGATGGAGGAAGGGAGAAAGACAGAGGAAATAGAAAGGTTACACAAACATCTTTACCTAATTAAGAAACACATACTTTGTTCCACATTTGGCAGAAGAGGGTTCATCAGGTGTACTCGTTATTTCATTCGCTTCCTCTGCCCTCTCTAACGTCCACTGCCTGGGTGATGGACGCTGTTACTAATCTTGCTGTGTCCACCTCTCCTTTCCCCCCATCGTTGGTCAAAGGGTGATGAACAGGAAGCAGACACTGGGAAAGCCGGACCAGAGAGACCTGAATGAGAACCTGGCTGCCACTCATGGCCTGGCACACATGATCCAGGAGTGCAGGAAACTCTTCCGGGTCAGTAGTTATCAACACTGGAGCATTTTTGCTTAAACAGCAAACTTCTTGCTTTGAAAATCAAAGTGGGCATGAAGATGAAAATAGGTTTGCTGATTGACATCCATGTGGCAAACTGCATGATGAAGTTGTGTTTGCTGATAGATTGAATGTCACCTCTGGCTCACCGTACCCTGTTAAACACCTTGAGCCCCTGTGTTTGTCCAGTAAACAAACAGTCCCAGTTACATAATTCGTTGATCCAATTCATACTGTCATTTGCTCAGGCAATGCTATGATTACATAAAGTAAATGAGCCAACCGTCCTTCCACTTTAAATGCCTCCGTTGTGCAGAACTGGGCCTTACTTCACGTCCAAACCAAACCCATTTTTCAGAGAAGTTAAAATACAGCATAGTACCACAAAACTCATGAATCCACCTCATCCGGTGTGGTTCTGTGTGTTCACAAGGAGAGCACTTGACTGGATAAACAGGAAATAATCAGCAAACTACACTATTACTAATCCAATTTCAATCCCATTCAGCCTAAAATTTTGCTCTGCTCAGTGCAGTCTTCTCTGACATGCTACGGTAAATACTAAAAGACTGCATACCGTGGATCATTACTATTAAAGTTTAATTAGATTGAGAGAGCTTCCTGGCTTCCTGTCATGTTCACGTCACACAACAAGCAAACTCAATTACCTCCCGAATTATTTTCTTTTAATTAGATCTCTATTTGCTCGTGGTGGTCCATAAAAGAATTATGACCCATGAAATAACTAACTGTAATTTGCCTCCATTTCAATGAACCTTTTATTATCTAATGAAAGTCCTTTTTTTAGAGAGTAACATTGTTAGTCTACAATTAAAACTGAAAGATAGCAGGTACAAATGAGAACAAGCTCGACAAAGGAGATGGATATAGGATGTGCTATGTTCCTAGTTTTAATTGTTTTGCATCCTTCTACAAGTTACAATAATATAGTTTCTCATTAGTTAAGGGTCCACCCTGATTAATGTAATCAAGGTGGAGAGACAAAAACAAGAAGACATCAAGTAGAGACATAATGTTCCTCTTTCTTATTGATACTCCAGACATGTTATAAGACAAAATACTCTGCTTTGGATATGTTTTTAAAAAAATATATATGAATAATTTATAAATAATTTTTATAATTAACACAAAATGTCTCCTGCTTTACTGAAAAGTCCTTTCTCGGTGTATGAGTGCTGGAGGTTTCAAATCACATGTATATTGCATATTGAACCATGATTGGCTTTCAAACTAGTTGGGATGTCACAACTACTTGTATGGACACCACTTAAACTCACAACTTTAATTTATTAAGTTTGGTTATCGAAACCAAATCCAGTTGTCAAATCAAACACATTTAACCATCACTCACTCTAGCTGCCCATGGCCCCCAGCAGCACAATGGAAATATGACACTTATCGTTCTCCTCCTCCTTTCCCACAGATCCCAGAGGAGATGAATCGCTGCAGGAACTCATATGTGGAGCAGGCACTGCTGCCTCGACGCTTGGAGGACCTTGTAGGTGAAGAGGCCGGACAGGGTGGTTACAGGGACTACTTACAGGAGAGCCTAGACGCCCTCCTCAAAGAGGCCAAGGACAAGTTCAAAGGTTATGACAGCTGCTCCACACCTGAGCACGCCGAGCTGGCCTGTAGAAAGGTAAGAACACTTGTTTATTCATAAATTTTTTACACATCTGTGTAGTCCATGTGACGGCTTTCAGTGCATTTTTGTTTTTATGGCAGAGGGTGAAGGCAGTAATAGAACAAAATTCATGTAAGATTAATTAATGAGAGTAAAAACAGACCCTCAGTCAGTCTGTCTTTAGTGTGTAAACAAGCCAACGCTCATGAAGCACACTGTCCTTTCAACTATCTGTGTTTCCTGTCTTCTCCTTTTCCTCTTCATGCCTGCCTTTCCAAACTCTCTCCTGCTTCTCTAAATATCTAGTGGAAAACCAGCACTTAGGGTTTCCTGTATAGAAACACATCCGTGTGAAACTGGCCTGGCCCTTGGCTTCTCATTCCCATCCCAGTACTGGACTCTATCCCAGAATGACGACAGCTTGACAGAGACACATACACAACCTCACCATTATCCCAGGCCTACATTTCCTGTGTCTAGTGTGCAAGGGCCCTTGTATGAGGTTATCTTTTCTCCAGTTTAAGAGTCACAAGGCACACAGAGTGTGTTCTTTATCATCTGATTGCAGAACGAAGCAGCTGACTTGGCTAAAGGGCATTGGGAGGTTTTGAAACACAGTTTGGCTGTTGTTGCGTTAAATTATGACTGGATTACCACGTCTAATTTTTGTAAATATGACTGATAAGATTATATATCCTAAAGGAAGCTTCCAAACACCTGCATAACACACTTTAAGTTTATATATATTTACCACATTAACCCCCTTCGGCCCACTTTGGAAACTGTATGATGTATTGAACATGTCATTCCCAGCTTCTCTCTCCCCTCATTTCATGTTGTCTCTTTACTTTCAACTATCAAATAAAGCTATAAAATGAACCAAAATATAATAATTTAAAAAGAAGTATATGTAAAGTAATCAAGCCTTTCTATCTGTTTTTCCAGGTGCATGATGGCTTTCCATTGCGGCAGTGGAAGGTGACTGTGGAGGTTCCTGTGAGTCCCGAGGAGGTTCTGACACGAGTGCTGCGGGAGCAGGGCCACTGGGACGAGGACCTCCTCGAGAGCCGGATGGTGGAGACCCTGGATGAGAGGACAGAGGTCTACCAGTATGTCAGGAACACCATGGCTCCACATCCCACCAGAGACCACCTAGTGCTAAGGTAGACCTCCTCACCCCCCGCCTGTCTCACTTCTCTCCTTGTCTTCATCATTTTCGATGTTCTGCTTTGATTTATTGTTTTTTAATCCAAACTCTTTACTCTCTACACCAGAACATGGGTAACGGACCTGCCAAAGGGAGCATGTGCACTGGTGTGTTCATCTGTGGACCATGAAGGCGCACCTGTTGTAGGCGTTCGTGCCAATGTCCTTATCTCGCGCTACTACATCGAACCCTGTGGAGCAAACAAGTCCAGACTCACACATATTTCCAGGATCGACTGCAGGTGAGTGTGTGACAGGAGCAGAAACAAATTGGGATTAGATTAAGATCCAGTCTTGTGCTTGTTCGATGTCTTTTAGCTGATGGCACAATGAGCTAACACTATGTATCTGTCGTTTTTTTCTTTAGGGGTCGTTTCCCAGAGTGGTACAATAAACTGTATGGACACCTATGCGCTGCTGAGGTGGCGCGGATACGTGACTCATTCACCGTGCCCATGGAAAAATAAAAGAGCAGTGTGCAGTGTGGGCAACAACAGACTGAAAAGCTCTTTTAAACCCTGGACTGCTCGAAATGACTCATTCCACCCATTCCAACAGGGAGGTAGATGGGGTCACTCACATTTAAAGGACAAATCCTGGATCCTGGATTGAAGGACTTTTTTTTGCTCTGATTTTGTCACAACAGTCTGGTGTTATCATTTTAAAACTGTTCTGTTGGGGCTCTTAGTGTGCTGCCAAGAGGACTCATGTCACACAAACATTTATCTGGGCCAAAGGACATAACGTAGCTGTTACGGGATGGGAGGTTTAAACTTTATCCAAAGGGTGCTATTGCTTCTGAGAAGCAAAGTGGGATTCTACGAGTGTGTGTGTGTGTGT